GGGCTGGGGAGCTGGGCTAGCTACTCCTCAGTGCCGATAGGTAAACACCTAAATAAAAGCTCAGAGCCGATGTTCCCAGAGGCAGAGCCCCATGGGAGGCTCCAGGTCTCGGCCGCTCAGCGGCACAGGGAGCCCGGCTCCCCTCGGCGCTTGCAGGGCGCGCCTTCGTTTAATCCTGAAGGGTAATTTACCCCTGCTGCGGAGGGTGGAAGGCCGACAGGTCCTGCGGCAGCACCGGGGCGAAGGAGTGATACGTGCTGCCACGAAGGGTTCGGTGGAGCCAGCAACGGGAGTGCTGTGGGAGCCACCAGCGTCGGGGGGAGAGGTCTCTGACCCCCTGGACTTTATTTCTCTGACCCAGGGATAAAACTTAAAAGTCAGAAAACTCAAATGTGCACTAAAGAGTTGTCCCGTCCCAGTATATGTGTAATACAGAGCCACGCAAAACCTGAACCTCAGACATTTTACGTTATCTTCTAATTCAAGGAACTTTGATTTTACTTTTATATTCAGCAAAATTAATTCTCCTCTCTGTAATTAATATGCTGCTCAAATGGATTCTTAATTACAGATAAATCACAAATCTACACACTCAACTGTTATGCTTTTCAAGTAATAAAAGAGATCATTTGTCTTCCTCAGATGAACAGAGACCAACCAGCACACCATTTCCCCCTTTATGAAGAATTCATTTGCCTTAGAAAGAAAGTCTTTAAAAAAACATTGCAAGGATTTCTTGAATAGGGGATCAAAGCTCCCACACTGCTGGAAACCATTTTTGCTAAATAAGATGTGGGTAAAGGAAAAAAAAGTAAAAGTTTTTTGGTAGTGGTTGGGATTACGACACCCTTGGGAGGGACAAGGACGTGGGGTCAAGAAGTTGTGACCAGGTTAGCAACACAGGGAACAGAAGGGGAGGACAAAGGAACAGAAAGTGGAAATGGACAGATGAATGAGGAAGCATGTTTCTTTGCCGAAAGAGAATGGATGCTACATCAATTCATACCGAGAGCTAAAGGATGAGGGCCTGTTAATGGATTGGGGGACACAGCAGGGATCAGAGGTCATGAGTGCACTCAGCTAGGCTAATTGACTGTTATGTGCATATTAGTGACGATAATGTAGTAGGACAGTGGGACGTGGGGAGCAGATATGCAAAAGTTCCACCGGCAAGCGCTGTCCTGTAATTCCTGTCTTATACCTGCTAAACAAATGCGCGCGCACACACACACACACACGACAGTGGCCTTAGCTGGCTTTCTTCGGGAGGGGAGCTCACGGCGACAGGTAAGCATCTCTGACCTGATTGTGCACGTGAGGAAATCAACTTGCTCACCAGATCTGCTTTGCAATCTTACGGGTTTTTATTTCGGTCCTACGTGTTGGGCATGGCCCAACGACCTGACCAACGCATCTCGCCTGGGCTGCTTCCACACCGTCGCAGAAGTCCCCTGAGCACCCCTGTGGGATGGGGGGGGCTGCTTCGGGGTCGGGAGTGTACCCTGCTATGAACCACCTGCCTGTACCTGCTGCCATCCCAGGGACTGTCTGCAAAAATAACAAATGAAAGGGGGAAAACCACACAGCCTGGGCTCTCCCCCACGTCCCAGTCCAGTCCGCGGGCGTCCTGCCAGCAGCTCCAGGCAGAACGAGGCTAGCGCTTACCCTCCTCTGCTATAATTTTATGCCAGCCCCGGTGTGTCGGAAGCGCCGTGTTCCCAGGCACGTACAAGCAGGTGCAGGGGGTTTAATATAAAGACCACGAGCTGGTCCAATAAATACCGCGTTCACCCCGCCTGAGCGCGACTGTGGCTGGGGGGGCTGTCGGTGCCCCCCTTAGCTGGCACAGGCAGCTGTCTCCTGTTTGCTGCGGTGCAGATGGAGTGAGAACTCCCTGGCAGGAGGCACTTTGCTTTCTCTTTACTGGTTCTTATCAATTATAGGGAACAAAGCAAGCCATCCTTTGCCTTGTGGGGTTTCTGCAGCGTGCACCTGAGAGGGGTCCTTCTCTGGGAGGCTTTAGGTCACTTTGCTCAGCAAAGCAGGAGCAACACAGAAAAAAGAGTGAAATCAGCTCCAGCCGATCCAGATACGGGATCAGTTTTGGAGGTCAGGTGCAGTTTTGAGCTGACTTTTGTGGAATCGAGATCCAGCCTGGCGAGCACTGCTAATAAAACAGGATTTCCCAGGTTACATCAGGCTGCTGGAGCATTAATCACCGCGTCCGTGGCTGGGCTGAGCTGAACGGCCTGTGCTCCTGCACCACACACACCCTGCAAAGGCCTCGCTGGTCATCTGGTGTCAGCGCTGACTTGGCAATTAGCGCCGAGTAATTGATAGAGCAGCATCGGGGAAGCAAAGCTAAGCCCGACGCCGTGACAAGGGCGCTTTTGATTTGCATTAACTTAAGCTGCTCCATTTTTGTATTTCACCGACTTCTCCCTTTCACCCCGGACACACGACATGACCCATCGCAGTCCGAGTCCCGGCGCTGGCCCCTCCAACCGCTCCAGGGCAGATCGACTTCGGCGTAAGGCAGCTCGGCCCCCGGGGCCGCACGTGCTGGAAGACGGGAGCGTGCTGCCGGGGGCTGCTCCTGCCGGAGGGTCCCTCGCTCCTGGCGCACGGCTTTCTGCCCGCCTGGCAGCCGGTGCAAAGGGATTTCCCAGTCGACCGATGAAGAGAATATTTCCCCTTTCCTCACTCTTGAATCTGTTGACAGCATCTCTTGGTGAGTGATGGATATTGGAGATGATTTATAGTTCTTTGTTACACAAATGCCTCCACATTCTTCCCCGTCCTCTCACAGCAACCATTAGTCACTTTTCCCAGCGGAAAAGCAAGAGCCTCAGCCCAGGAACGGCCCGAAGGACGCGGCATCGAGTCTCTCTCCCGCACTGGCTTCGTTCGCTGTAAATACGCCATCGGCAACGGCTCGGCTCGGGGACACAAACGAGGGAAGCGTCAGCATCGTGGTGCTCTGCACCCACCCAGGTCTCCATGCGGCTGCTTCCACCCGTCTGCCGGGAAGTCAAAAGGTTGGCAAAGAAAAAGGGCTATAAATCAGGCAGATCGGGGCTGCGGGGAGGATCGCGTTTATGCAATTTTTCATCTCAAAGTTTGTAATTAAAGCAGTGAATGTTACAGAAGGAACAGCCGTTGCCAGTATCTCTTAGGGCTCTTGGACTTCGGCAATGTAAACGTTTAGCCCTTGAGACTTTTATCACGTAAAATAGTTTTTGTAATGCTGCTGTTGCTTAATTGGATTTCTGTTTGTTGTACTTCAAGAACACCAGGAAAAATATCTGTATTGTTTCATCTGATACAGAGTACTAGGAGACTTACCTGTACTATTGGGTCTCACAGTTTATCATAATGAATAAATACATGAATTATATAAATTCTGATCTTAATCTATGCAAAGTTTCTTGATTGCCCTGAGCAGCTGAGCCAGTTGCTCCGTTGCTCCTGCCACTGCCTCTAGTGCTTCCTTCTTCAAGCACAGTTGTGATGCCGGATTGTATCAGTGGAAAGCGAGGATTAAACAAATTAACTGGGCACATTCCTGACTTTAATTTAGGTGTCACTGGGACTGCTAACCGGTTTCATGTCAAACGCACGCTGAAATGCTCTGTCGACGTGGGTCTTAAAATCAGGAGGGTGGTGCAGGATTGAGCCCCAAGTATTCTTTGACAAAATAGGTTTGAACCGAACCAAGAGAGAACATTCCTCTGCTTTCACGGGGAAAGGCAGAGCCACTTGTCGCAGATCACAAAGGGACTTCCCCGTCGAGCCACGAAGAGAATATAAAACAAGGGATGATCCAGGCAAAGAAAAGTGCTAACAAGCCACCGTTTTGCCTCCGCCGAAATATCTAGGACCTAAGTTTACAACTCTAAGAGGCAGAGCGGTTGCGCCCAGCGGAGCTGATAATCCCTACTTGCTGGCGCTGTGATGGATAGAAGAGAGGCCAGTCCTTCGAGACCAGCTAATGATACTGTAAATCACCAAAGCACAGACATGCGTGAACAAAAACTTCCCACAAAAGCTTTTGTCCCCTTATTCAGCTGAGCCGTTCCTTAAAAACAGCTGAAGCAGTCAGCGCAATTAACTTGCCATCAGGAATACACAAAAGGACAAAATGCTGCCATCGGCCTATAAAGATGTAGAACAGCTTTATGGCTCATATGCCGGATTTGGGAGTTCTGACGCATTCAGACCTCACGCAGAGGATTAAAAATTAAAAAAAAAATAAGGAAACAGGGCATCAG